GTCTTTTGCAAAAACGCCTCGCGATCGAGTACGAACCGAATGTTTTTTCTAATCATACAAATCGGTTATTCCATTCTGTCGAAAATGTCGAGGACATTTGTTTGAATCTTATAAAAAAACTTCAAAATTAAAAATCTTGGTACGGAACCCAAAAAAATTTACACAAAATGTGTACACAATATTCAAATCTCTATAAAATATCTGATAATTTGATGTACATATGTAAAATAAAAATTTTTGAACGACAAATGACATTTTTTTAACTTATTTTTATTGAGAGTGCATAACCGTTGGACCTGCCTTCCCAAAAATTTTACCAGTTGTTCATGTCGTCAATAGAAGTAAAATGTCTCTTAATTATTAAAATCGGACGCTCCGTTCTCTTCAAAACTGAGTTACCATTTTTGGCACTTTTTGCACCGTATCTTCGGAACGGCTAGACCAGCCTTCGACAAAAACTAATCAGCACGTCTCCTTATCAATACGAATCGAATGTTTTTTTAATTATCCAAATCGGTTGATCGGTGTTCCCGAAATCGCCGACGAAAATGTGTATCCGCACACACACACACATACATCCATTTTTTCTAATGTATGCCAAAATATTCAGAAACCTTTGAAATGTAAAGATATATAAAGATGCTCATTTTCGATTTTTTGCGATAACAATAACTTGCCCTACGGGAAGTTAAAAATCATTTTCGATTTTTTTCGATTACCATAACTTACCCTACGTGAAGTTAAAAATAGACGGTGTTGGTGTTTCGTCCCTGTCGCTAATAGTATGTTTGCATACGACTACGAGACGTTCAGTTATTCAAAGACAAAACGCCAAGTTCTTTGTTCAGTGAGAGGATATCACAGTCACCGGTTGTAGGTGTGGATGGAGTACGGCGAGTACGAGTACAAATACGAGGTACTATGGGTACTACGTTAGACATTACGTTACGGCCAACGGCATGGGCTCATGGGCTCTTCTTCGTCGTCGGTACTTGCTCAGAATAATAATTAAATGCCACCGTCGTAATATGAATCGGTCGGTCTCACTCTCTAAGTCATAGGATAACAACTATTCTTTGTTTGATATGGTTATTATTTGGACGATAAACGAATGAAGAACTAGTGGTGTATGGCATCGTACCTTAAGGCAAATTGGTGGAACTTACCGTACCGTAATGAAAATTCGAGGAATATTAAATGTTTTCATATAGATTTTTAACTTCCCGTAGGGCAAGTTATAGTAATCGCAAAAAAATCGAAAATGAAAATTTTCATATATCTTTACGTTTGAAAGGTTTCTGAACATTTTGGCATACCTTAGAAAAAATTGATGTATGTGTGTGTGTGTGTGTGTGTGTGTGTGTTCGGATACAAATTTTCGTCGACGATTTCGGGAACACGGATGAAGCGATTTGAATAATTCAAAAAACATTCGATTCCTATTGCTAAGGAGACGTGCTGATTAGTTTTTGGCGAAGGCAGGTTTAGTCGTTCCGAAGATATGGGACAAAAAGTGACAAAAACAGTAACTCAGTTTTTAAGAGAACGGAGCGTCCGATTTTAATAATTCCAAAAACATTTTACTTGTATTGACAAGATGAATAATTGATCAAATTTTCATGAAGGCAGGTCTAACGGTTTCGGAGATCTAGTAAAAAAATGCCATTTGGCGGTCAAAAATGATCATTAGACATATGCACATCAAATTATTAGATACTTTATAGAGATTTTAACAATAAGTATAAATTTTGTTTACATTCCTATGGGTTCCGTACCAATGTTTATCCGTTAGACGGCGACGCGGCGCTTACGCGCTTCGATATCTTGTCTCTATGCAGTTAAAGCAGTACGATTGCTTTGAAAAAAAGTTCAGAATTTCCAAAATATTTCAAAATAATTTTTTCTTCAAAAAGTCTTTTTTTTCTCAAAAAAAAGTTAATTTTTGTCAAAAATTTATAGTTTCTCAAAAATCTAATTTTTTCAGAGTAATTTTTTTTTCAAAAATGTTAATCTTTAAAAAAATTTTTTTTGGTACGGGAAGTTTCAGCAATTTGCCTTAAGGCACGATGCCAATTTTGGTAATAAAAAAAATTCCCAAAATCAATCGTTTCGTCAACACAAGCAGAAAGTTTTTTGAATTATTTAAATCGGATGCTTAGTTCTCTCAAAAACTGCAGTTTTTTGCACATTTAGCTCGGAATCTGCGTAACGACTGGACCTGCATTTGCCAAAAACTAATCATCACTTCTCTCCGTCATTAAGAATTGAACGCTTTTTGGATCATTCAAATTGGATGCTCCGTTCTCTGAAAACCTTGATTTCTATTTTTTGCACTCTTTGCTCCGTAACTCCGAACCCGCTGGACCCGCCTTTGCCAAAAACTAATCAGCACATCTCTCCCTATCAATAGGAATCGAATGTTTTTTAAATCAATCAAATCGGTTGATCCGTGCGTCCGAAAACGTGAACGAAAAATTGTATCTGTTCACACATACACTCACACACACACACATTCATGGGATGCATAAAGGCATTTTCTTCGCTATACAAAAAACAAACACACATTCATTTTTTCTGACTATGCCAAAATGTTCAGAAACCTTCAAAACGTGCAGAAATGTAAAAATTTTCAATTTCGATTTTTGGACGATTGCAATAACTTACCCTATGGGAAGTTGAAAAGGGATACCAGAAATTTAGTCTGGTTTGGATATTTAATTTTTGTATTGATCTATAAGTATTTGCGATAGTTACGAAAACTTAATTAATATTTTACTGTAATTAGCTTCCCGTTAGGTAAGTTATTGTAATCAAAAATGAAATTGTTTGCATATCTTTTTGTTTCAAAATCTACCGATCATTTTGGCATACTTTATAATTAGAATATATTGATGTATATGTGTGTGTATGTATGTATATATGACAATTACGAGAGCACGGATCAACCGAGTGGATTGATTCAAGAACCAATCAATTTCTATTAACGGGGAGACAAGGTAGGTACAGCCGTTTTGCAGAAAGTGCGCAAAGTTTTTGAGAGAATTGATTAAATTTTTTGGAAGGTAGGTATTTTTTAGGATAGTTCATTATTTAAAATTTTCGTTACTTCAGTTTTCCAATTGGTCGCTTTTGAATGATAAATTATTCTGCCATCTCATGGTTAATTTACCAAAAGTGTTAACATTTTATATCCGAACCTCTTAAAACATTACTTCAGTACACTAGACTTATAATATAAAATATTTTTCATTTTTATAGAAGATGGTATAAAGAAATATTTTAGTAAAAAGTTAATGTTTGAACAATGTTTGGAACTGCGCCTAAACAATGATATCCATCTACACGTAAAAGATTAAATGTAAACATATATCAAAAATATATTTCCAACTGAAAAAATTGATGTGCATTATTTTTTTATTTATTTTTTATTTTTATGATTTATGATTATTTATCTATGTTGATGTGTGTGTGTGCGTGAGAGTGCATGTGTGTGTGCGTTTGTTTGTGCATGTGTGTGTGCGAATACAAATTTTCGTCGACGATTTTGCGAACACGGATCAACCGATTTGAATAATTCAAATAACATTTGATTCCTACAGATAGGGAGATGTGCTGATTAGTTTTTGGCTAAGGCAGGTCTAGCCGTTTTGGAGATACGGGGAAAAAAGTACCAAAAATGGTATTTCAGTTTTTGAGATTTTCAGCGTTCGAACAAATGATGGAATTTTTGTAAAGGCAGGCCAGCGTCTTCGGAGATCCAATAAAAAAGTAACTAGTGGGGTGTTTGGCATCGTGCCTTGAGGCAAATTGCTGAAACCTACCGTACCGTAACGTAATTTTCGAGAAATATTAAATGTTTTTAAATAGATTATTATAAATATTGTAACATTGTCTAATATTTATTAGAATTATATAAACTGAATTGCAAAGTTGAAATTATTTGTTCAAAGTATATTAGAATAGAACTATAGTCAGAATTAAAAATAAAATCTGAATTATTTTCGATATACAAAAAAGTTTTTTTTAAAAAAAAAAAATCAAAAAAAAAGTTGTAACAAAAAAATTTTTTTTTTCTAAAATCAATTATTTTGTTAAGACAAGCAAAAAGTTCTTTGAATCATCTAAATCGGACGCTTAGTTCTCTCAAAAACTGCCATTTTTTGCACATTTAGCTCCGTGTCTTCAAAATGGCTGGGCCTGCCTTTGTCAAAAACTAACAAACATTTCTCCCAATCATTACTAATTGAATGTTTTTTAGATCATTCAAATTGGATGCTCCGTCCTCTCAAAAACTCAATTTCTATTTTCTGCATTCTTTGCTCTTTATCTCCGTAACTGCTGGACCTGCCTTTGCTAAAAACTAATCAGCACATCTCCCTATCAATAGGAATCTAATGTTTTTTAAACCATTCAAATCGGTTGATCCGTGCGCACGAAAACGTGACCGAAAAATTGTATCCATACATACATACACACAACACACACACACACATCAATTTTTCTGAGGTATGCCAAAATGTTTAGAAACCTTCAAAGCGTCGAGAAATGTAAAAATTTTCAATTTCGATTTTCGGCCCATTACAATAACTTACCCTACGGGGTAAGTAAACACATTACCATTTAGCGGTCAAAAATGATCATTAGACATATGTACATCATATTATTAAATATTTTTCAAATTTTCGATTATATTTCAGAATATAAGAAAACATCATTTTTTCAAAAATTTCAAAATTCTCAAAAATCTAATTTTTCCAAAGTTTTAAATGAAATTTGAATATTTTTTTAAAAAAATAATTTTTGGTACGGAAAGTTCCAGCAATTTGCCTTAAGCCACAATGCCATGCACCCCTAGTTCGTTTATTCAAATGTTGGTAATCCGTTAACGTGTTAACGTCAATGCATCTGTTACTATGTTCTGTACCAAGATGGCGCCATTATCTCTCTCTTGGCGGCCTGCAAATATTCCGACCAATCAACTTCACTATGTTTAACCTCATCCTCGAATTCCCGATGAACGAAACGTTTTATATGTTAGGTTATGTGAAGTCGCGTGTTCGGAAATATTGCCCGTGTATAATTGTAATAAGTAAATAATCACAAAATGACTGAAGAACAACAACAACCTAAAAAAGAGCATTGGGTTCAACGCACAGTATTAGATTCATTTACCAAATTATCTCACCGTGCAGATAAAGAACGAATAAAAGCAGGCTGTGAACTTATAAAACATTTGAATCAACAGGGCTCCGATGAGGTCTGTTGGAAAATAATTGTTATGGTTATGGTTATGGTAGTTTAGTTTTATCAAGTGCTAATAAATACAATTGTTTGTTAAAGGTGTCAAAAGAGTGCAAGTATGCTCTGGAGCGACTTGTTAGAGGCTTGGGCTCCTCGAGGGTTCTTGCCAGGTCTGGTTTTTATACGGTGCTTGTTGCTATTTTGTCAAGCAGTGATGTTATTGATGCTGAAATGATACTTGAGATTATGGAGAAAGAACTACATACAAGTGGATCGGATTCAAAAAGTGTAAGCAATTTATCGGTTCATTGTATCTCATAGACCTAGCATTAATGTACACAATTTTCTTTTATATAACCATTAATGGATACATGGAACATTGTTTCGCTAATGTCTACCTTGTCAATGATGTTCCATTATAATATATATATATATATATATATATATATATATATATATATATATTCTATTTTATATCTGTGAAATATACAGGGAACATTGTTTTGCTATTATCTACCTTGTCAATAATGTTCCGTTATCTGTTGTATGATTGTGAAAAACCAATCAATTTATTTTGCAAACCTCACACAATAATTCAATATATATTATACATTGTATATCTGTAAAAAGATACATGGAACGTTGTTTCGCTAATATCTACCTTGTCAATAATGTTTCATTATCTATCATAACAAGTAAAGAATATTGATAAAAGAGTGCGCGTAAGGTTCACACGTGATTGAAGTAAAACTTATTTGCTACTGCACAAGATGGCATTTAAGTAAATATAAATACATCATATAACAATTTTGAATAATGTTTATTAGTAATATGGTAACACTCGTGATGCACACATTTATTAGTGTCAACCATTATACACATTTATATAATGATAAATTATAAATTTGCTATTCATAAAAGCATTAAAAATATGTATAATATTTAAAAACAATAATGTAATTAAAATCATACTTCAAATATGACATGATCCGTTTGTCATTGTAATTAGCATTTAGAAATGAACCTTCATTAGAGGAATGTAGTAATTGCTGATTAATTAATTTTTTAATATTTGTTCACACAGTGGATTATATTACACAATGCCTAAACAAATATTGTTTTCACAACTGCACTCATCATGTAATTGTGGTTGAAGAACTTCATGTAATTAAAATTAACATACATTCATTGACTGCTTGTATTTTTCTTTACTTCTTCCTGGCGATAATATAATCTCATTCTTTGAACAGCTGTAATATCTGTCTTGCCCAAAAAATATTTTTTATTTTAATAACTTCAAAGATTTATAGTAACTACGAATAATATATAAATAATTTCTAATCAATAAACTTACGGCACAAATGTTTAATTTGTTTTATTATTTTTAAAGAACAGGGTAAAATATTCTTCTGATTCAAGCATTTTTCATTAAATCAAGATTTGTATCACAATGTAACTTTAAGATCTTTATTTGTCTATGCCGATTTCCTTGTTGATATTGGTATTGGTATTGGTAACGTTGATGCCAGTACGCATACAACGACAGATTTCTTTTCACATACACGACGATTAATCACAATCGATCCCTATAGAAATGATATCATCGAGAACGAAAGACAAATCGTTGGTACTCGACTCTGCCGTAACGCACTTCCGTTGCATTTGTACGGATTTACACCCTAGTCGCGCCTAAAGAAGTTTTACTTCAATAATATTTAATATATGTTATACAATATTTTCCAATCAGCACGCAATAATCCAACATATATTTTGTAGGAAAAAGGTGACATATACATGGGCCAAATTTTGGGATGCGGAGCACTTTTACGCTCAGGCTGTGAGAGTAAATGTTCTTCAGAAACTCTTAAGAAGGTTATTGAATTGATAGCAACATCCGCAAAGAAAAAGAGCTATTTAACACTAGTGGCATACACTTTCCTTATAGATTTAATCAATAAAGTAAGTTACTTAAATACAATGTGCAATTAAGCTGTTCAACTCAACATCTTAAGATTGTTTTTCTCTATTTTTCATCATTTTCCATTTTCAGACTTCTCAAGAAACCTTTGCATTAGTAATTTGGCCAGTTTTGAAACCAGAATTAGCAAAGCCGTGGGAAGAACAAACCATTGATACAATTTATTTATTATTTACGTCTTACAAAAAGTTTCCTGATGTTGTTAAACATAAATTCATTAAGAAGAATTTAAAAGTTGATGATTTAATATGCGAAGAAAGTGTGACACATATAGCCGATATACTTATTGTAAGTAAAATTTTCTGCCATACTTTTTTTTTTTACATTATTTATAACTAACCCTTATTTTGTGCTTTCAGAATCCATTACGACTCGCAACATTAAAGCATCCTTTCTATGAGATGTTTTGTATCGAAATAGCAAATACGGATTTGGTTTTGCCTTTCTGGAATGAGGTTGATAAGAGATTATCAAAACCAAATGATAATAAAGAGATCATTGCCACAACGTTGCTGATGTATTTGCTAACAAACATGCAAAAAATGTCTGCTGTTCCAGATTTATTTGCTGGAAATTATTTACAACTGTTATTTCATCGATTAAAGTTGATCTATACAAATCATAAACATGAGTTGAATATTAAAAACATAAATCTTTTTGCAATATTAGCTGAAAAAGTATCTGATGAGAGTGTTAAAACCAAAACTAAACTTAAAACTATAAAAAGCTTATTGCTATATCCTGGCGATTTATCCTTTGAAAAAATTACTGGTACAAAAACAATTCAAAAAATCACTTCAAGTTTAGATTGTGATGGGGTTAAAAAATTGGCAGCTCTTTACAAAGAAATCATTCTGGCACAATTACCTAAAAATAATGCCAATTTTCCTAATTGGACTATATATGAACGTGTATATGCTGCACAACTGTTTAGTAAATTATTAAATTTCAATTGTGTTGCTGATGAACAAGAGTGGAAAATCGAGCAGATCAAATTCTTGATGAATTTAGGAATATTTTTATCAAAAGACGGTGTAGTTGTTACAAAAGATGAAAATAATATTGGACCGGCAGTTGCCTTATCAATTAAAGACTGTTTTTATAGTGTCTTGTCACATAAACAAAAAAATTTAGATGATTTGAGACAATTGTTAAGAGCAATAATTGATCATAGTAATTCCATAATAGTTAAAGGTGAAGATAATATACCTTTACGAACCCAATTTTCTGAAGATGACTCAAACTGTTGGTTCCAAATGAGTGATTTCATAAAAAAGTTGAAATCCATTGATAGCAAAGAAACTAACGTTAAAGTGAAAAAGATAATAAGTGTGTTTGAAATCCTTTCCATTCACATGGGTTTCCAACTGTTCAAAGAACCAGAAATGGCCAGAAGTTCCTTACAGGAGTTGCAAACTTGTTTTGAACGATTTAGAAGTTTAGGCTCACAAAAGCAAAAGAAACGCAAAAGCTTAACTGAGGGTGATGAAGTAACAGATGAACCTGAATGGATGGAAGTTGTTGTTGACTTAATTTTAAGCATTTTATCTCATGACTCACATTTACTGCGAAGTGTTATTAGTTGTGTGTTCCCACATTTATGTCCATATGTTAATTGCACTGTAATGCATCAGATTTTGTCAGTGCTGGATCCCAAAAATGAGGACAATCCACTAACAAAAAGTGATAGCTCTGACTCTGAATCTAGTGATGATGATGAAGATGCTGAAGAGAAAAATGGTGAAGAAGCTGATGACAAAAATGAAGAATCTAGTGATAACGACAGTGATAATGAGGAAATGTCTGAGGATCAAGATTGTGAAAATGATACAGAGACAGATAAATTACGCATGGCGATAAGTCAAGCATTAGGCCACGCATCAGATCAAGAATCTGTAGATTTAGATGATATTGATGAAGAAGAAGGCAAAAGATTAGACAAGGCACTAGGAGAAGCATTCAAAATGATTAAAAGACCTAAGAATTCCAAAAAGCAAAGTAAACCTGATAAATCACTTACAAATTTCAGGACAAGAGTTTTAGATTTGATCTTAATCTATTTAAACAATGAACCATCAATGTATATTTGTCTAGAAATTATGTTGCCATTATTCCAGGTTTTGGAATTTGCCATTACAGACCCTCATCAAAATCCTTTGCAGGTTAAAGTACAATCTTGCATCAAAAATTTATGTAACATCAAGAAATTTTCTACAATGGAAGGTGTCACAGAGGAATTGTTGTACGATTTAATGAGTTCTTTATTAAATAATGATGCATCGTCTTCAATCAATGTTGCAAGGAATAAAGAAAACACTGAGTGTTGTACATTCATTGTTCGTTGTTCAATTTTAATAAATCCTGATAATTCAGAAAATGTTAAAAATATTACTCCTCTTGTGGAGTTATATAAAAATCAACTTACTGCCTTTTTCACTAGAAGAGATAATCATTTACCTATAACGTTTTTCAGTAATGTTTTGGGTATTGTTTGGCATGGTAATTGGTCGCTATTGCCAATATGCTTAGAACAAGCCTTCAATCCAGAAATCAGACCTTTCAGAAGAGCTTTGGGTCTTAAATTATTGCAAGTATTCTATCAAAATTATAGATCTCTAAACACCACTGCAAAATATCCATTGAAAGTTTTTAAAAAATTAGAAACAAATTTATCTAATAACATATCAGTTTTAGCAGAATCTGATGAAGCTAGTGATCATGAACATTTTTTCCAACAACTCATTGTTTTGTTAACTTTAATTAAAAAATATCACAAAATGGAGAAAAGCCAGATACCTGACCACATGGATTGGGATCTGGTTCAAAAAAATGTTTTAAAGTTACGTCAAAGTATAAAATTCTCCTTAGCTACTAAATCATCATTTAATAAATACTGTGCAATGTTGAATTTAAATCCTAAACAAATAGCTGCTCAGCTCAATGGTGATGATAATGAGGCTGTTCCATCTAAGAAGCAAAAACTTCAAAATAATGATGAAGAAAATCCTGTAGAAGAAAATGGAGTACATGATGAATCAAATGCTGATGATGAATCTAAATCTCCAAGTGAAAAGGATAAAAAACAAAAAACGAAGGGAATAAGCAACGAAAAGCAGAAATTGAAAAAGCAAGCAAAATTATTGCGTTTGCAAGCACAGGAGGGCTTAGAATCAGTTTCGTTTAGTCAAGTTAAAATGGATACTGCTGAAAATGATAATGAAGACTATATCGAAAATAATTCAGAAGAAGAAGATACAAATGAAGCTAAACCGAAAAAGAAACACAGGAAACGGAAACATTCTGTTACTGAATAAACTAATAATTTATTATTTTAATTACCATAATTTTTATGACAATTATATATTTGTATGAAATTTAGGATCTAATTATGTACATTAACATGAATGTAACAAGATAATAGATTATAAGAAATATATTATGAATTTATATAAAAATGTAATTTGTTGAAGAAATTCAGTCTTGCAGCAAAATATTGCAGTTATCTTCAATGATGTGCCACATTATTGGAAGTTGATTTTACAATTACATGCAAAGAGCAAGTAAAAATGTTAAACACTGGTTGATCAACAAATATTATAGAGGTATTTTTTGGATTTATTTATGGAACATTTGGTTGGGATTTATTTGGAACATAATAACTTATTAATGAAAAGCATTTAGTAAAATATAAACTTTGAAGGAAAATTCTGGCATGTTGGTGAAGAGTAATACTTTATTTGCAAGTATTTGGTTTAACCAAATTACTTGTAATTCCATTTCCATGGAATATATGTTATGAGAATGTATATGATCTTAATAAGGTTTCAAATGCCTATATTCATAATACAGGATAACTCTGAGTGACGACATGTTTAGTTGATTTAAACAATAACAAAATTTGAGGACTAGGTTTAAATGACATTTTGCCCTAAGGTGAGCTGCATGAATTTTTTTAAAATGTGTAAAGTAATAGACACATTCAATTAGTTTTGCGATTTACCATTTTTTTTTTTTTTTCATTTGTGCTGTTAAAATGTTCAACTGCTTCTGAGGAATGATCAATTGGCAAAATTTTATCAATAATTTTGAACAACAATCAGATTACAATATTCTATGAGCTATTTGGTTCAATTCATTCACACATATGAAATTATTGTGATAAATTTCAATATATCATTAGTTGTTTCCATTCCATTTATTTCGACAAAGACATAGTAGTAATGTTAATGGTCTTTTGAAAACTTCTTTTTCAATCTTCCTGAACCTGGTGTCTCAAGAAGTTCAGTGTTTATGGAATTTGTATGATCAACCAGCTTTAAGAAATTTTGAACACCTATTAGCTTTATTACTCTGTCTATAAATTCTGAATTAGACCTTATTGTTGAGGAACGAAGGAGCATTGGGGATTATGAAATTAACTTATATCAGTAATGGTAATAATTAAATTTAATTTATTCAACAAATTTTAATTTATTGTGTGTTTTAAAGATATATTTTAAAACATACAGTTGAATTAATTTATTTTATTTAAGTGTGGACATCAACAGTATTCAGTACAGGATATACATGGTGTATGTCCTAAGAGCATAAGCCATTATTCGAAACTTCAATGAATTTTTATATTCCAACCACTTTACATAGGCCTAGTTATAATATTTTAGAATGTTTGTTTAGAGTCTTTATACCAAAAACCATATGACGATGCAAAGTTTCCATCAATAACTAATTCCGAAGAAAATCCTGGCTGTTCTATATCGAAAACTAATCAGCACGATTACGGATACCTTATCTTTCAAACAGTTTTTGTATTTATAACACATTAATCGCTATGATAATTTGAGAAATATTTTCACATGGGCCTTGGTAACTTTGTTAGATAATTTATTTAAAAATGTATCAAGGAAACTTAATGTACAAAAAAACACTTTTTTTGGTCAATTTTTTTTAAAAAAAACGCTATTTTTTATGTCACACTTATATGACTGACACGGCCCAATAATAATTCTTTATACATTTCTGGATAAACCAAACAAATCTCTAAAAATTTTTTTCGTTTTTTTGGTCAAATTTCCAAAAAAAAAAACAAACTATTTTTCATGTCATACTTATATGACTTATATGGATATTAAATTCTCTATACTGTTCTGTAATTCTGGGTAAATCAAACAAATTAATTCTCTAAATAATTTCTGCTGTAATATCTGTTTTGCCTAAAAAATATTTTCCATTCCAATAACTTCAAAGATTTATAGAAACTACGAATAATATAGAAATTACAAACGCAACGGAAGTGCGTTACGGCGTTTGAAGTTATTGCTTCAAAGATTTATAGAAACTACGAATAATATAGAAATTATTTCAATAAACATTATGTTTCATACACGGAGCAAATGCTGCACTTGTTTCATTATTTTCATTATAATTATTTACGGAGGACAGGGTAAAATATTCTTCTGATTCAGGCATTTTTCATTAAATCAAGATTTCTACTACGATGTAACTTTAAAATGTTTATTTATCTATGCCGTTTTTCTGAGTTTTGAAGTAAATTTTCTTTAGGCGCGATTAGGGTATAAATCCGTACAAATGCAACGGAAGTGCGTTGCACGGCAGATAAGATAAGAGTCGACCCTAGACAATATACTAATGGAGTCGACTCCCAAATATTCGTCATTCGCTCTTGATGATATCATTAATACGGTTCGATTATGATTAGTCGTCGCGTATGTGAATAGAGATCTGTCGTTGTGTGTGTACCAGCATCAACGTTGTATGCGTACCGATATTAACAATTGTTGATGCTGGTACACATACAACGACAGATCTCTATACACGCACACGACGACTAATCACAATCGACCCGTAGAGAAATGATATTGAGAGCGAATGACGAATTATTGGCACTCGACTCTTATCTTATCTGCCGTAACGCACTTCCGTTGCATTTGTACGGATTTGTACCCTAAAGAAAATTTACTTCAAAACTCAGCAGATATAAAAGCTTTGAGTATATACTTCCATAAATACTGTACAGTCAAATTAACCGCCATTTTATATCAGCATTAGGCGGATTTAAATTTTTGCTAATGCTCCTAGCCTGTATGCTTTTCGCGCAACATTTAAAATAATATACAAACCAAAAATTAAATTTTAATCTCGAGTTTCCTAGCCCTTTTAGCTATAACTTGTATATACTTGTATTAATTAAATTAAACTCTAATTCATAAATTTTGAATTATTCAAAAATCGCCCGCATAATTCAACTTCCCCTATCCGCCGCTGTCGAGTTCTGGCGCCACCTCTCGGACGTACGTCGTAGCGCATTCCGTACGTCGCATGATCTTGTCTCTCGCCTGAAGTTCTCTAGTTTTTACGACGAGTGGCCGTCGCCGTCGCAATCGCTTCGCTTATCTGTCAAAATAATTTGTTTAATGAACTTTTAATAATAAAGCGAATTAGTTTATAAATTAATTTGTTCGTTAAGTGACAGTGAAGAGGATCGATTATTGTGCAGTGGATAATGATAGTAACGTGATGAAAAAGTATATGTGTTGTGATAAAATCAATGTGATTGTTGTGCTCGATTGTATACGATAGGTTATTAACACAAAGGTATGCCTAGTAGATTTCGATAGGACACAGGTATTATGTATTGTTGGGGGTTTGTTTATAAAAGAATTTTGGCAGAAATTATTTGTATGCATATGGTTAATTGTTATTTTAATTGTTAAATGAAATATCGTGGTCGAGCCCTTATTGCGGCAAAAGTCCTGCGATTAGATTTGCTATGATTAGCCGTCAATCCTGTGACAAATTGTTCAATAATAATTAATGGTCTTAATTTTGGACCAGATACCTATATAAGTGCTTTAAAATGTGGTTGTTAATTTGTTAAAAACAATGTGTCAACCCTAAAAATTAACCCTGATATTTTAGAAAATTAACCATAAATTTTACTAGGATTTTATGATTTTACGTCACTGTCACCATGTACATGGATTAAATAATTTTAACCACGTGTTTAACACGTTAATCGCCACGATAATACCAGAAAATAATCACAAGTGTCATAGTAAGGGGGCGTCCAATAATCACGTGAGCGAGTTTTTAAGGATTTTTGAACCCCCCTCCCCCTTGGTGATTCACGGTGATATTCAAAATTACCCCCCCTCCCCCACCAAACATCACGTGTATTTTTAGTTTCGTGATAAAACTGTAAAATTTTTGATTTTTTTTGTGAAAATGTTTAATTTTTTTAAAAAATCAGTTAAAAAATAAATACACGTGATAGCTTACTATACCCCTCCCTCCCCCACGTGATTTTTCGTGATTTTCTGTCAAACCCCCTAAAAACCTCACGTGATTAATGGACGCCCCCTAACTTTATTAAATAATTTAGTTGGAGGTGTATAGCATCGTGCCTTAAGGCAAATTGCTGGAACTTTCCGTACCAAAAATTAAGATTTTTAAAATAGCTTTAAAATTTTTCGGAATCTTTGAAAAAAATATTTTTGAGAATTTTGAAATTTTTGAAAAATTCGACTTTTTTGAAAAATTTGTTTTTTTTAATATTTCATTTTATTTTATTATTTTAATATTTCATTTTATTATGCTTATTTTATTAGCCCTCAGATATTTTCCAAGAGGACTTAAAAATACAATTATTTTACATATAATATGGATACATTACAATATCTATAGTAAAAAATTAAAAATGCATTTTATAACACAAAGTTATATAATACAGAATGTAATATTATTTATTAACATATAATAAGATAAAATAACTAGTGGGGTGCATGGCATCGTGCCTCAAGGCAAATTGCTGGAACTTCCCGTACCGTAATTAAAAATCTTGGTACGGAACACAAAAAAATTTACACAAAATGTGTCCACATTATTAAAATCTCTATAAAATATCTGATAATTTGATGTGCATAAGTCCAATAAACATTTTTTTACCGCCAAATGACATTTTTTTAACTTATTTTTATTAAGAGTCCGTAACCGCTGGACCTGCCTTCCCAAAAATTTAATAAGTTTTTCATCTTGTCAATACAAGTAAAATGTTTTTCGAATCATTCAAATCGGTTGAACCGTGTTCCCGTAATCGTCGACAAAAACTTGTATCCGCACACACATACGAGCCTTTTCATACATACATCATTTTTTCTAAGGTATGTCAAAATATTCAGAAACCTTTGAAACGTAAAGATATATAAATATTTTCATTTTCGATTTTTTTGCAATTACTGTAACTTGCCTTACGGTAAGTTATTTTATTAAAATTTCTAGAAAAATACTTTTTTTTATGTCACACATATATGACTGACATGGCCCTATGTTAATTTAATTTATTAAATCTTTTTCAGGCAAGTCAAGATTTTTTTCTGACACGGCTCATTTAGATCTTCTCATTTTTAAAATCGACACGATGAAATTTTTTTTATAAAAAAATCATTAATTTTGTTCTTCTTTGTTTACATAAAATGAGATTGCTATTTAAAATGTAGTAAAAATATTGTTTTTATATTTATGATATTTTTCCTTAACACGTTAATCTCCACGATAGTATCAGAAAAATTTTTATATGGACCATAGTAACTTTATTAGATAAATAAGGTAAAAATGTATCAAAGAAAAGAAAAATGCCAAAATTCTTGGAAATGCTAATTGTAAGGTAATCTTTCCAAAAATTGTGCACAGAGTATTTCAATATTTTCAATATTTAATTAAATTTATAAAAAATAGGTTTTTATGGTATCGCGAAGGAAGTACCTTTATGCATCCCAGACTAGGTCTTTTGTCTGGGTATGTTAGACTCAATACCGCCTGGGTATAATACCGACTAAAACCTCCGCTTTGCCTTGGCATCTGGTTCTCACTGAAACCGCCTTTAGGCATTGCTTAATGGGGGGAGGATCAAGAATGCTATAATTCTACTTTTGAAATTATACTTCTCTTCTAATTATTGCCATATGCTCCTAATGTAAACACTAGGTGTAAGTGGCATTTTGTTTGCCTTAAGGAAGTTGCATGTACTTTCCGATACTTGTATATAATTGTTTTAATCAGTAAGAATTGAAAAATATGCACTTATATTAGGTTTTCGATGATTTATTTTGAAAATAAAATTTTAGGCGCCGATTCTGTCGTAAAATAGGCCAATGTTACGTATCGCTTCTCGCACAAAATGGTACTAAATAAAATGCCATGTATTTATTGTGCGATCAGGCATTTTACACAAAAAATGCAACAACACTCAAATGTTATACCAGATCACAAACATGCAGTTATGATAACATTGTTTTTTTGACTAGGTTAGGTTGTCTACCTTAAAAGTCTGACAGCACAGTAACCACATGGCATTTTGACAGCACTTAGTACCATTTTGTATGAGAAGCGCCATGTAACATAACCCCTACGTAACATTGGTCTATTTTACGGCAGAATCGGCCCCTTAGTTTACTTTAAAACCTGATCAGTGTCATTTCCTTGTTATTTTTTCAAACAAACTTATAATATCTGTAGTTGTATTAATTTTGTTGCACAAACGTGCGCTTGTATATCCTAAAAGGGCGGTTTCTTATCACAAATTTTAAAGATTTTTTATGATTATTTCTAAAATATTATTGGTACAAAACACTTTTTGTTGTAAGCTTATAATTTTTTTAGGATTTTCGTTTAGACCATCGATTCCCAAACTTTTTTGTGTCGTGAACCCCTTGGGCTTTGCCTTAGACCCCCTATTTACACGATGTCGATTTTTTCTTTTTTATATAAATTGTAAACTTAACTAAAGTTTGTTATTAAATGTTTAAAATAAAAATATATATTAATTTTATGCATTTATTAATTTAATTTAAAACTACTGCAACAGAATATCCAAAAGCCAAAAAGATAGAAAAATTGAAAATGTAAAATCATGTTTCCGCCCGGGATCGAACCGGGGACCTTGTGCGTGTGAAGCACACGTGATAACCACTACACTACGGAAACCGATGCACTACCCTCTTTAATTCCGACATATATAACTCATTTAGTTATTATTAATTTAAGTTTGCATTCATTTTTATATTATTAACAAGTGGTGTATACATTCATTGGAAATAATAAAATCAGCTTTTAAAATATATTATATAAAGAAAGTGTCAATGTATAATTAGAAAATAACCAGATTACAAGACCAATAAGCTATAAAAAAAAGCTAGTGGTGCAGCAAAATTGCTGGAACTTCCCGTACCGAAAATTAAATTTTTTAAAAGAGACTTAAAAATTTTTTCAAATTGAAAAAATTTTAAAATTTTCAAAGTCATCTCACTGTGTTAGCTGCATAGAGACGAAATATAAAAGCGCGTAAGCGCCGCGTTGCAGCCGAACGAATAGTAAGGAATCCATAGAAATGTAAACTAAATTTGTTCTTATTATCAAAATCTCTATAAAATATCTGGTAATTTGATATGGATATGTCTCATAATCATTTTTGACTGCCAAATGGCATTTTTTTACTTTTTTTATTGGATCTCCGAAATTGCTAGACCCGCCTTCCCAAAAATTTAATCAGTTCTTTATCTTGTCAATACAAGTAAAATGCTTTTTGAATTATTGAAAACAGACTCTCCGTTCCCTTGAAAGCTGAGTTACTGTTTTTGGCACTTTTTGCCCCGTATCTTTGAAGCTGCTAGACTTGCCTTTGCCAAAACCTATTCAGCTCGTCTCCTCGTCAATACGAATCGAATGTTTTTTGAATTATTCAAATCGGGTATTCCGCGTTCATGAAGTCGACGAAAATAAATATTTTTAGGTGTATTTTTACATAATATTACATATTGTAGTAGCATATAAATTAAATTATAATATCTGTATATATAGTATATATTAGGTCTTTATTTTATGAAGTCCAATTATAAAATAAGATGCTTTCAAAATAAAAGTAGCCTAAGTTACGGCGAATTGAATCAGCTACCTTCTCAAAAAAAGTTTCGTCAAAATCGGTCCAGCCGTTTTATTCATATTTTTTAAAAATGTTAATTTCTTATTGTGTCCTTATATTCATATTAGATATAAAGATGTACATTGCAGCAATGTTTAAGAAGCCATTTTCAATCGAAATCATATTTTGATCTAAATTTTCAAGTTGAAATTGATATCAACCCGCCCGATACAGGAGTACAACCTAGTGGTTGCAAGATCGAAGTTCTTACTCCAGTGCCACGAAGAAGCTCATAAAGTTCTAATACAATACAGCAGACAATGAAATTCTTTTCGAACGACCTAATATTTTTATCTTGAATTCTTATTTATTTATTCTACAGCATATTTATCAAAACAATGCGTGATGTGAATTCAATGTATAATAATGAATCTTCATTCTCTTTCGCATATTAATTTATTATTCCATTATAAACTGTCGTATGACGTTTTTAGAGTGTTTAAATTACAGACGTGTTTTAAACTTTATAATAACAGTAAATTTTCTTTTGAGCATTCAGTTTTTTGAACAATATTGAAAAACTTGCTTTCTGAGATGACGAAGTTGATCTAGTTTTAGTTTCATTATCTTGTTTTTGCAAGATTCTGATCTTGAATGTCATTTAACCGCAATGGAAATT